CTCTTTCCAGGAAAATGAAATCCTATATAAATGTAACTAAGTACTGATCATTTTCAAATTTGCTACAATTACTATGACAGACAGACCATGTGGAATTAAGCCAGTACTATTTTTTATTTTAAGTTACACATATAAGGGACCTTCCTGAGTTGTTTATTAAGTGAAACTCTTAAGGTGACAAAAAAAAGTCTATGTAAAAACATGAAATTATGAATATTGAAATTTAAAGTTCTCTATAATAGCAAATATATGCTCTATTGTCCTATGAGTGTAATAATAAATATTCTAGAAAAAATCCATTTTGACTACTTAACATGATGCTAACTTCATTTTGCATGTTTTATAAGCAGTGTGTAGTATGCTATTATAACTCATCTAACCGTAGCATTAATTTACCAATGTCAGGTGGATTTTGAGCAGCAATGTAATATGGTGTGAACAGAACCAGACAAAGAGTCTGAAAACCCAAACGGGTTCACCACTTGCTAGCTTTGTGAGCTAGGAGAGCCTTTACCCACTCCGATCCGATCCCTGTTCAGTTACATGCAAATGAGTGTAACAATATCTGCGCTAAGTGCCTCAGTGAGAATGCATGGAAAGTGCTTCTCCTCTCCGGTATTTAAACATGGTTTCTTCATTGAGGCTTGCCCTGATCCTTTAACCCATATTACTGCTTCCTGTGGGTCTCTCGTGATCTGACAGCTTCTTTGATAGCACTCACCCCATACGTGACTTTTTTAATTTTAAAGTTTATGTAAATGCAAAGCATCATCATAATTATTTTATTAGGCAACGTATTCATATAGGCATATAAAACTGGACAAAGTGAAACAATTATCCTAAATTATATTTCATTAAAAATTTTTCAGAAACAGTGAAGAAATAACACAGTGGCAATTTCAGTATACCTTCCACACAGGTTTGGAGTTTTATGGAAACTTAAGGTAGATGAGTGACTTGTTTTCATTTCCAACATGATTATAACTTTCTTCGCTACCAACTTCAAGAAGCTGTTATAACTTGATCCAAAACATTCCTTTACGTGAGAATTTCCAAATAAAAACCTTTTCCAGCAGCCTCTTTTCACAAAGGTAAAATGCATCCTTATTCACTAAGATACTGTTTTCCAAATTTGAATAAGCTGTAATATTTGTTTTTTAACAATTCAGAAATCCAGGCTGAATACAATTCATCAGAGTTTTTTACACTTGGAGACTAAAGGGTATGGAATTAGGCTCCTAAACATAATCAGCTTATGAACAAAGCCAAGAACTATTTCTAGTGCAACTTTAAACTATACCCAACAGAATCAATAATACAATTCTGTAAACCAAAGATATTCACTTTCACATTCGATTCTATGATCCTGTAAACAAATGCTCCTAAAACCTTTACCAGGCCAGTCATTATTTTGGAGCCTGATTTTGGTCCAGATCAGCTTTTCAAACTATAAGTTGTAGACCATGAGTAATTCAGTAATTTCATGGGTCAAGAATAGCATTAAAAAAAGAATGGAATAGACAAGTATGCGTACATCACATAGAGTAAGGATAAGCACTATTTTTGAAACTTGTTTTATATAAATGTACTTGTTTTATATAAACACACACACACACACACACACACACAAGGTCTATGGCATCATGATGTAAAATGTGGGTCATAGTCAAAAAGTTTGCAAGTCAAATATCTAGCTCAATCCACTTGGTTGCAATCCACACGGGGAGGGGGCAGAACTGGGACTCCAAAGGTGGGCCCCAAAGCTGCTCTACTACACCTTGAAAAGGCCCCTTAAATCCTGTGCTCTTTGGGCTCCTCGAAAAAGCAAATAAAATATGCTTTTCATTTTCAAATAGCATTTTAAATAGAATTGATTCTGTGAGAACTGACCAGATTTCCAAAAATAATGATTTCCAAAGGCACAATGAGGTCTTGCGAAAAAAGTGACATTTTAAAAATTTCAGCATTCTGAAAAATTTAAACTAGAATGGGTAAATCAGGTATAAGCATTATGGGTAAAACTGTGAAAAAAAATATTTTCAAGGATAGTGGTATGTTCACTCTATAAACATAAACGCATAAAAATGTTCATTTATTTTCAAGCAATGGTTAAACATTTATGTAAATTTTTACTTTAAAATTTAATATTTAAATATATTCTGGGTATTCTCAAATCATTTATTTTTTGTTATAATTTTCTCTCATGTTTGGACATGAAAATTGGAATTAAAGGTTTAGTAAAGAAAGATATAAGGGTGGGAGGGAGGGAGACACAAGAGGGAAGAGATATGGGGACATACGTATATGTATAACTGATTCACTTTGCTATAAAGCAGAAACTAACACACCACTGTACAGCAATTATACTCCAATAAAGATGCTTAAAAAAATTTAAAAGTAAAAAAGAAAGATATAAACCAACTAATAATTTTTAGAAAATACATGTATGCACAAAAATGCCTTTTGGTTCTAAGAATCATATGACATGTAGTATCTGAGATTATTTTAAGTCCATCTATATCTTACAATAAATCTGTTATCTGAGGGCTTCTGCATTCTATAGCCCCTCTAAAACCTCACGAAAACTTCTTTGAGAAAAACAATTTAACACAAGCTTTACTTGCTCAAGACAATGGAATGTTCCCATCCGGAAGAGAGCCGAGAGACCCACTAAGTGAAGAGCTAAGGTGTGGTGAAGCTGTTTACAGTCACCCACTCTTCAGGAATTTAACTGAGAGCTTAGCACCAGACTGGCACTCAACTGCCGGTAACTAAGTCACCAGCATTACCTGTAACTGAGGGCACCACCCCCGGTAAGAACTGCAGGTGGGGCTGGTGGGTGCGGGTCGGCACGGAAAGATGCGCACTCCCTGGACCCGGCGCTAGCTGGCACTCCGGCCCCGCCAGGCGCCTGCGCAGGCCGCTCAGCCCCTCCAGGCACACACTTACCTCGAGCTGAACGTTAAGGCAAGGCTCACGGGACCTGCTAGGGGTCTACGGGCGCCGGGCGCCGGCGGAGAGGGTGGCAGCCCCCACCTGCGTGCGGCCGGGCGGAAAGAACTGAGTCAATCACAGCGTGACTCGGGCTGACGTCAGCGTGCTGCCTGCCTGCAGTTTAACTTTCCACTGCCCGCCGCACCGATTCCAGGAAATGTAATGACGTCGGCCCTTTGAACCCGGTTAGCTGAGAAGCAGACCATTTTAAACAGGACGGAAGGAACGGCAGGCTCACAAACACCCCTGACGCGCTGCGTTTCCTATTCTGTCTTGCAGCTAGCTACATTTGAACACAGCAAGAAAATCGGAAGGTTACTTTTTTTTTTTTTACAACTTGAACAGAATGTGTGTTTGACTTGCAGCTGCACTGGCTCTGCAACAGGTTGCAGATGAATCAACAGCTTATTTTAGTAGAGCAAATGGAGACAGAGAGAGAGAGAGGGAGAGGGAGAGGGAGAGAGAGAGAGAGAGAGAGGGGGGGGGGGGGGGGGGGAGGGGGAGGGAGAGAGAGGAAGCACAGTACTGAGCAAAGAAGCTGTTACACTCAGATGCCTTCACAGAGTGCCGAGTATATTCGGTTACAGATTAGAAGGAACGTCTTACTCCTCAGCTACTAGAAAGTTAATACTTTTTGAAATACTCAGAGTTTCCTAAATAATTTTTCTAAACTTCAAAAACAATCTTGCAGAATTTCAATCCCTCTTTAAAATTCTTACCTGTTTCGTCTCCAGTTACAGCCATGATGGGCTTCTGCATACAGAACTATCTTGCTTCCCCTATCACAGGACCACATAAAGTGTTCCAAACCAGCAAGCATGTGCAGGGTAAGTAGGAGTACTGACATCACAATGACCTCACTAGCTATCACTGCCATCAATTTGCTTTGTCACAGACGAGCTCACTGAAAGCAAACCCTATAAAAACCCTTCCTGTAATAAATCATCTCAATGTTCTTGTTTCTTATTTTTACATAAAAATCGAGTTGGGCTCTGGCAAAAAATACATCTCATTAGCATTAAAAGTTACATGGCTATTTCTTATGGGGCTACTT